GACTGTGGTAGGTGCTGAGAAAACCAAGGGAACCAAACAGACGTGGTTCTTGCTTTCATGGAGCTAGAAGAGATAGAGAAAAACAGAAAGGAAAGAAAATAACAATCATCTATTATCACTAAGTTGATAAGTGCTGAAATACAGAAATAAGGGCAGGACCCACAGTAGATAAGCTGGTGAGATCTCACTAAAGAAAGAAGAGATCTGAATGATAATCTGTTTTAATCACACTCAAGGTGATTTGATGTTATTGGATTATAAGAATTCAATGAGGCCGGGCACGGTGGCTCAAGCCTGTAATCCCAGCACTTTGGGAGGCCGAGACGGGCGGATCATGAGGTCAGGAGATCGAGACCATCCTGGCTAATATGGTGAAACCCCGTCTCTACTAAAAAATACAAAAAACTAGCCGGGCGAGGTGGCGGGCGCCTGTAGTCCCAGCTACTCAGGAGGCTGAGGCAGGAGAATGGCGTAAACCCGGGAGGCGGAGCTTGCAGTGAGCTGAGATCCGGCCACTGTACTCCAGCCTGGGCGACAGAGCAAGACTCCATCAAATAAATAAAAATAAAAATAAAGAATTCAATGATTGTTTACTATTGTCTAGCTAACTAGGGGAAATGCATATCGTCCTTTCAGGCACTTTTGTAACTTAGTGACCAGAAGAAGCTGGGGGACCGATATTAATTAGTGTCTATTATGCTCCAGGCATTGTCCAATTACACATTAGCTCAAAAAAGTAGTCATTATTATACTAATTTTAGAGATGGAAGAACCAAGGTCCTGAAAGGTCTAGTATCTTGTCCAAGGACTCAGTCAAAAGCTCTTTCCACTATACCAGGGTCTCACCTATATCTGTGAAAAGCAATACGTTACTTCCTCATCACCAAATGGATTAATTTTAAAATAAGATCGTGTGAACTACTTAGTGCCTCAAATCATTTTCATTATAAAACAACGTTTTAAACTAAAGATTCTAGTCTACAGGCCATGTAAATTAACATTTAGTAATACATTTTACTGGAAAACGGGAGAGCATATTTCTTGAGGGCTGCCAACAATCCACCACCACTTGATTTCACCCAGTCCCATCATACCTACTTGCTTTATTCTTTTCTCAAATGTGCACCCAGACTTCAAGGTAAAAGGTTCAAGTTCAAGTTCAATTTAACCACTATAGCCCCATTGCCATTTTGCCCCACTACTCTCTGTCTTTTCTATCTTAGAGCCTCAAAGAGTTAATGATTCATTCACGATTCAACACTTATTGAGGTGTCAGGCACTACACTGAGTGCTGGGTACAAAAGACCGCCTGACTTTGTTTTTGAGAAGTCTGTTCTCATCACTCTGGGGCGTTCTAAACGGATACTCTCTCCTCCCTTTCCCACCCTTTCTCCCCGTTCGGCCCTGGGAGGGGCTCTTAAATAGTCCTTGGAGGTGGTTAATCTTTCGGTGAACTGGAAGGAGGGTGGGCCCGCGCAGCCTGCCCAGACCCGAAGATCAAAGGCGTGTTCCTCTCAGACGCCTGGAGGAAACCCGGCGGACTCTGAAGAATGCTGTTGGCAACCAGCGAGTTTCCAAGGGCAGAGCCAGCATTTGGAGCGAAGGATGCAAAGCTAAGAAAGGATGTTGGCAGGACAGCTGTGCCCCGCTCGCACCTGGGTTCCCCGCGGTGTGCGGATGTAACCCAGAACCTGCCCTGCGCCTCATCTCTGAGCCAGCGGATCTGCGGCGTGACACCAGCCCGCTGGCCCGGAGATTGCACCCGGAAAGGGACGGAAAGGAGGCTGTTCGGGCTGGGGCTCAGAACTCTTTCCCCGTCTCGCCTACTTCCAAAAACTCTTCTCCCAGGCGGGGAAGCTTCAGAGGCTGCTTCGCTCCTCTGCCTTTGCGCTCAGCTTCCCGCTGGCCGCGAGCTCCCCAGCACTCCTGCTGCCCTCGCCCCCAGCCCTGGCTTCCCTGCAACCCGAACTCCAGGCCGACTTCCCGACGTATACAGTGCCGGACCAGAGCAAAGTCAGCCACTCGCAATGGAGTGATGGGGAGATTTTTTCTGGCCTGAGAATGGACAAAGGGACTCTCCTGCAGGGGACGTGATTCCAGGGCGCCCAGATTTCTCTCTCCCTTAGAGGTCGCAACGCAGCCAACAGAAGTCTGGCTTTAATCCACTCAGGACTTAAAAACATCATCTAATGACTGAAATCTGTCTGAGAACACAGGAGGAGCGCATCCACGTCCACACACCCGAGTGGAATAAATCTTTTATTTTCTGAAGACAAGTGATTTGAAGTCCAGACTGAATCGCATTTAAGAATTAGGAATCCACTGCGTGCCATCCTGGAGTGAATAGAAAATTAAACTAAATTGGAGTCCAGAATATGCAGCTTCTTTAAGAAAAAAATTCCCTCTGAAATATTCTTTCCCACTGCATTAAGTAGTGTTCCTCATGAGAAATCTGAAAACATTGATTGTTAAAATGTGGTCCTGGGACCAGCAGCATTGGCATCACCTGGGGCCCCACTTCAGACTCCTGAACTCAGAATCTGTGGAGGGTGGAGGCGTCTAGGTGATTCTGAAGAACCACTGGCTTAAAAGTCTCCTTGGTCAGTGTTTTCCACTAATCAGTAAACATATAGAGCCAGCGGAGCTGGAGCTCTGTTTATCACTTCTCCTTTTAGAATGAAGTCTCTGTTTGACAGTGGGAAAGCCTGCTAGAAGGATCCTGAGTTGCTTGTAAAGTCATACAAGCAATGAGAGAAAGAGAGAGAGAGAGAGAGAGAGAGAGAGGACTTCCCTGGCTACAGTCCAGATTGGATATCTGTCTGCTGCTGAGAACTTGCAGACTCACTTACTTGAAACACTTCATTCTCCGTTCAGGCATCTGTAAGATGCTTTGGTTGTTCTCCTGGTTCTTTCTAAAAGCACCTTCTAAGATAGTTTTCATAACCTAGAGGTCACAGGCAGGATACTCCCCACCCTTAGCACCCCCCACTCCCAACTTCCAAACTATACTGGCTTGAGGTCAGGGGAGTTCCCCATTCTTTCTGTGAAGCTACTCACCCCCTATTCAAATTGAGACACACCAACTACCTGGGCTGGAGCTGGAGCAGGGTAAGCTGGGAGTTTTACCCTTCTGGGAAGACCAAAGGAGAGACACCTATGGTGGGTGTGGGTGTGCTGATGATCTGGAATGGGAGAAGGGCCCACTGAGAAGAAGAGATGGTTAGACTGTGAGTGAGTGTTGGAGGTATGTGTGGTGTGGTCACGTTGTCATGTTCCTGGGCTAGTGGCAGCCACCACCCAGTCATTCCCACCTTGATCCTCACTCCATTCAATGGGCAACCATGGGGACCTGAGTGTGCCCAGGTCCCTCCTTGGCTGAGGCTCCTGATGGGACTGGGCAGCCTCATCATCAGACACCAGTGTCAACCTACCTGCAGGTGCCAGGCCCTGACTTTGCTCTCTGGATTTCTAGGAAAAAGAAAGTTCTGGACAAATTTAGAGAACATTGGGGAGAGGTGCAAGGTGAGAGAGAGACAGAAAGAGAGAGAGAGTCAATAGATACCAAAAAGAGGTATTTTCGTTCATGGAAAAAAAAAAGATCATTGCCTGGACGCTATAAACATACACCCCTTGGAGCTTCCTGCCTGAGATACTTTCAGTTTGGATCTAGGCACAGATAGTTCACTACCCGCCACTTAGTAAAAGTAACTGACATTTTCATGGAATCTTTCCTTTACCAAGGGATTTTACAGATATAATCTCATTTGAGCCCCACTAAGGCTCTGTAAGATGAAAGGGGAAGGTCTGCATATAATGATTATTATCATTCTCATCACCTTTATCCCTGCTTGCAGAGATGGGAAAACTGAGGATCCAGGCTCCTTCAAGAAACAGCTAGATGGATGCAGAACCAGGGTCAAATCTACGTGTTCCCTATTCATAGCCACATGCCTCCTCCCTAGAGCAAAGGCTTCAAATTATTGATAGGCAACTATAGACAGCCATGAAGGCTTTCTAAAAACCCATGTGTAGATTGGCATTGCAAGGGAATGAGCAAGAAAAAGCTATTTCTCTATGGACGGCCTGCCTGGAATCCTCAGAATTTAGCGCAATTTTTTTTTTCTTTTTTTTGTAAAAACGTGAGTGGGAGATTGGAAAATTTGCGAAACTTGAAAGGCAAACAATTGAATCACACTAGGGACTCTTTGATTTGAACTCTGGATAGGCTGAGGCATGGGCTCTACCCCTCTGGTAGAAAGGAGAGAACACATGAATTTGAGGAACGGGACTCTGGCCAGAGCTTGAAATGTGTTCTTGAAAGTCAAGTTGGGATGGCGGTGGTGGGGTGATGGAAGGGTATCCTGATATCTTGAGAAGTCCTCCATGTGCAAATAGACAGGCGGAGAAGTCACCGAAGTTCTCAGCCCTTGGAGAATGAGGAATTGCGCTTGGTAATGTGGTCGCCACCCCTTGGTAATGAGGTCACTATAACTGACAGAGAGCACACCTGGCAGAGCAGCTTCTCCAGTCGGGACCAACCTACCGGGATCCCTCCTCTATGGCCAGGCAGAGGGCTCCACCCGAGGAGCAAGAAGCGGCCTGTGGGGTTGGTGGAAGGGTGGAGAAGCTCTCGCTCCAGGTACCAAACTAAGCCGAGAAAAAAGGATAAAAAATCGAAAAGAAAGAGCAAATGAAGCGGAAGTTTCAAGGCTCTCTGCGAGGAATAACAGTATAAATAACCGAAGACGTCTTGTAAACACTGCGGTCATAACCCCGAACATTAAACAGCCCCGGTGGCATCTGGCGCATCGGCTGCCGCGGGCTGCTCTGGGGCAGTGAGAGAGCCGGGTCCCAGGCTCCTCTGCCTTGCTTCTCTGTTTATCTCAACTTAATCTTCCCCTAGGAGCTGTTCCGTAGCCTGGAAAATGTTTAAATTAAAACCCAGTCCGCCGGAAGTCGTGGTGGGAGCTAAACGCGCCGGCTAACCGCAACCAAAAGGCAGGCATGCAGGTTTGTTGTTAGAATTAATTAATGGGTTATTAATAAGAAATGTAGATAATGTATGCTGCAGAACTCTGAAAATCCTGAAACACACCCTAAGGGTTATGGAATTTACATCTTCCATAGCTTCTGTTATTTCTTCACTAGTTTGCAGCCATACCCACACCTGGAAGGTGACGAAAGGTAGAGTTTACTTTCTCGCCCGTGTCAGCAGTCATACTGTGGAATCCATGAAAGCTGGATTTCCTTTTTCTGGTGCGTTTTTACTCTTGAACTGTGTAACTGTGGATAACTTTAATACTGCCCATTCTTTGTTTACAGTTACATAATTTCTATTGTCCTTAAAAGTAACCGACATATTTCTTTTTAAAGGTTTCAGTAAAAAACGTAATCTGCATCTTCATTATGAAACTCATATGCAATTTTCTTCTATCTCTAGAATTTAGATTGATGTTTAAAAGAATCATTTTCATTATCAAGCTTCCCTATAGTTTCCCACTTTTCTATTCCAAATATTTTAAAAAATCACACAAAATGTCAGAGCTTTTAGCAATATAAAGAAAGATTTATTTTCAAAAGTAGCAAAACTTGTTTGAAAAAAATATATATCTTTAAGTGAATTACTTTATAAATGTGACTGTCAAAGTCAGCTATCCTATGATCTACATTTTACAACATATTGTACAAAAGATACATTGATAGGCTCTTATCTATTTATACATTTATAATTACATATTGCACTTGGACCAGCAAGGCTTGCAGAGTCATTCACGGTAGAAGTTAATAAAGTTAAATAGATGGGAATCTTTGCAAGTACAATTGATCTCCTCTGGTTTGGAAACGAATCTCCTCGTCGTTGTAAAGTGTTCTCGCGGGGTGGGACAGAGAGAGGAGCATTGCGAGGGGGAAGCAGAGACAGAGAGCACGGAGGGCAGGGGTCGACTTCCCGGGGCCCGCTCCCCCCGGGAGCGCGCCTTTCCCAGACTCGCACCTCCAAGGTCAGGACGCCGTGGTTCCACATAAGCGGCTCGCGGTCACCACTTCTTTCAGGTCACTCTCGGGTTTCCCGGCCACCAAGAAGGGCCACGTCTGCGGGAAAGAAGAGGGTGGAGGAGGTAAGTAGCCGTGGCGGAGGGGGTGGGGTGGGCTCCGAGCCAGAGATGAAAGGAGTGGGGGCGGTGGGGGCAGGCAGTGCGCTGGAGAGACCGATTATCTCTGCAATGTTCTCCCGGTCCTAGCGCACCCCGCGGCTGCATAAAGCAAAAAGCTGCCTTGGCGCCAAGTCACAGCTCGAGGTGGTGGTGGTGCTGATGGTGGTCTTTTAGAACGAGAGCCAAAAGGGCTCATACTGGCTTCCTTGTGAGACCCAATGCAGGAAGCCCTGGGCAAGCCGAGAGTGGGTGGTGCTGTGGCACTGCCTGGAAGCAGACGCTCTGGCAGCCTGAGCGGGGAAGCCCAGAATGACCTTGTGCCTGCTGGGCACCGAGTTGGGGGCGAAGCTCCCTCCTGGCCTCTCTTCTGAGGCGGTGGTCGGGTTTCAGGGCCCTGTCGCTTTCATCGTCTTTCATCGCCATCTATTTCCCTAGCCCCGACTTTCGTTTCTTCCATCGCAAACACCGACTTTGACTACAACTTCTAAATTAATCACCATCTCTTAAGGGGAAAAAGAAAAAAGCTAAAAAAACTACATTGACTTTTAATTTAAGATCGTCTTCGTGCTGGACTGAGAAAGCATGCTTTCTCTTCCTTTCTCCGGGCTGTTTTATAATAAAGTTCATTTAAGTTTCTTATTTAAAGATGAAGAGAGTAACAATTGTAAATATTCGAGGCAGCACTTTCATTTTAGGTGAAGATATTAAAAAGCTATTTACTCATTTAAAAAAAAAAACCCAAACTTTCAGTTGGAGGGAAAACTATTTTTCATGGCAAAATGTGGTTTTGCATCTTCTTCTCCCTCAGTTCCAGAAACCAATTCGGTGAGAAGACAATTCAGACCTCTCTCACTACTGCTCTAGTGCTGGCTGATAAGACTTGCCTTTTAAGAGGAAAAATCTCTCATTCTTATCATATACAAACAGAGGTCCTAGTAAGTTGTTGTTATTGTTTTTCTTTAGATCCTAGAAGTTTTAAAATAAAATCAAATAAAAAAATTAAAATGTATTTCTTAAACAGTAAAATGCATTTGAGAAAAAAGTAGACTCAATGATTATCAGGTTTTTTTTGTATTAAAAAAGTTAGATTCAATGGGCATTACTTTTTAAGATAAAAGGTAACTTTTCTTAAATCTTGAATGAGAGTGACCTGTTTTAATATTTATTAAACTCATACTAGTGAGGATTTACTGATTTTGCTGATAATTACTGGAACTTCTAGGATTTAAAAATACTAATCCACTTATAGGAGAAGCACAGAACATTTAAGTGGTTGGGGGCTTACATTGACAATTTAGGGGGGCATAGATGTGTCCTTATCTAATGGTCCTAAATATGCTTGTGAAAGAAACGGAGGTGGGTGTTTTTATTTACAAGGAAAGGAAAATCAAAATCCACTCTCAGCTAAAAGAAGAAAAAAGGATTAATAAAATGCCTCCTCGGCGTGAGGTCTTGTCAGTGTTCTCAGTTCCGCAGCAGCCACTCTACCCCAGGGAGGATGGCGATGGAGCGGGCTTGGGGGATCCCTCCTCTGTGCCAGCTCAATACACTTGCAAACCTTTAATTGGGCTGCCACGTCAAACCCTTGCATAAATCACTCCCGCTCCGGGGGCTGGTAGGGCAGAGAGCGAGGGTCATGTCTAGACCGCCCGCCTCTGGTCCCTGGAGGCTCTAGGCCCGCGGTGGCCGAGGTGTATAAGTCACCGCCACGCCCGCAACCCCACTCCCAGCCCCGCGCGCACTCGCGCCCACCGCTGGCGGGACTGCGGGCGCGCCTGGACTGCAGGCTCGCCTGGACTGCAGCTGCAGCCCCCAGGGCACTCACCAGGTTGACCGGGTGAATGTACCCGTTCTCGTATTTGTCGTTAGCCAGGATCTGCCTCAAGTGGGCGATGTAGCTGGACGCCAGCCTGAGCGTGTCCAGCTTGGAGAGCTTGGTGTCCGGGGGCACCCAGGGCAGGGTGGTCTTGAGTCTGGAGAAGGCCTTGCTCAGCACTCGCATGCGGGCCCGCTCTCGCGCGTTGGCGGCGTTGCGCTGGACCTGCTTCCCCTCCTGGCTGACCCCGCTCAGGGGGCTCTTCTTGGTGGGCGCCTTCCTCCTTTTGCCCAGGCCGCCGCGGCCCTTCTGGGGAGACCCATTCTCACAGTTGGAGCTCTCCTCGGTGCTCTCGTTGGAAGTCACAAATTCCTTGTTCGAGTCCATTTTCAGCCCGTCACATTCCAACATCTCCACCTCTTGAAGGTCCTCCACATCGCTGAGGGAGCCGGTGGACATGTTTGGGGGAGTGGACGAGGGAGAGAGGGAGAGAGAGAGACAGAGAGAGAGAGAGAGAGAGAGAGAGGCAGAGAGAGAGAGAGAGAGGCCCTGAAAGCAAGGGGCCTCCCGAGTGTGGCGCAGCCACCTCCTGTTGGGAGCTGGAGTTGGGGTCTGGTTGGGTTTCACAACCCTTTCCCCTTCGCACAGTTGTGAGAAGGAACCTAGAGGACTTCTGCAGCAGAGGAACCGGCTCTCTGTTTCCCCACTCCCAGAGTCGTGGCCGTAGAGGAGTGTGAGCGAGCGCTGAGGAATTTGGTGGACACTAGGAATTTATCTGGGGAATAGAGGGGCGGATCTTTGCAGCCCAGGGGAGGGGCCTGCCAGGCCCCAGCAAAGCGCTTAGACCCCTTTCACAACCGGAGGGAAACTCATTGCACAGACCCTAATTTGCAACTTGTAATGTAAATCAACTCAACTGCATCATGTACTTACCAGCCACCTTCTCCCAACTGTGGCCGGCCGAGGAGAATCATGTCCTGTCCATCTCTAAAAGGCCTTTCCCTCTTAAGACATCACAGCTGGTTGTTACTGAGAACTTTAGAAAAACGACTAGATCCTTTGGCTCTTTCTGGGCCTTCCACCTACGAATCTCACAAGCACTCCATTCCCTCTCTCCTCTCAAGAAAACACAAGTAAAAAATACAGGGAGTATCAACTGCATCCTGCCAACACCTCATAAGACTCCAAGGCTTTACCAAGATCTCCTTCCACCTTCCCCGGGATAAATGAGGACAAGTGCTTCCTAGAATCTTTATGGTGATGGAAAAGTAAGTATCAAAAATTTCACCTACACCTGATCATTTTCAAGACATCAAAGGACTGCCTATGTGTACACAAACCTACTTGATTTGCACACTCAAACCCAACACACACAGCTTAGTGGGAGTGGGTAGAGAATGAGATAGGGCAGTATGAGTGTGTGGAAAATATTATGTTAGTTGATCAGCTTTTCCTAATAAGTGGAAACTTTCTCCTCTTTTTTTTCTAGAAATGCATTTAATATTGCCTTGAGAGTCTTAGTTGCGCTGAGACATCACCTTGCCTGGCACTTTTTGTGATGCACCATCCCTTTCAATGCTGCTGTTTTTGTCTTCTTCCAGCCTCTTTGGTGCCAGTGTTCCTCACATGAAGCTGACACTACAAAACACAAAGCAAGATTATCCTTTTGAGAAAGGTTCTTTTCCATCTTTAACCCCAGCTCGAGCCATCTTTCCTAGAGAATAACAAAGTCTCCTGGGAAGTAGGTAGAAAATCACAGGGAACCAGAACCTAGGGACCGGATGAAATTGATGCAATGAAACCAGGGAAACTGAAGGTGTAAATCTCTCTTACAATTTCTTTGCCAGGTTTTCTTCCCTTGCAGATAGGCACTGAAGTTGGGCTGGAGAAAAATGTGAGAGTGGTTTCTGAGTGGTTGTCTTAGGGTCTGAAGGCTTCTCCTACATTAAGATATCATATCTCTAATCCTAGGCTCAGCTGGGAATTCACTAACCTCTAACGCTTTGTTTTGCTAGCAGGGTCTTGTTTGCTTTCCCCCGATGCTGTAAACTAAACAGGTTGTCAGCAAATCAGTCTTTATTAATGAATTAGTGACCCCTCTTCCATAATATCTTCGCTGAGGACCCAAAATTTGTTAATCACCAGTGTAAAGATTTATGAGCTCTCTTATTTTCTGTTGTTTGTGCAGGTGGAGATTTAAATGACCACATCCACCCTAAGATTTATTGTGAGAATGATTGATGTTATAAACCAGGAAAGGACTCTTCCCACAGCAGGGATGACAGAAATATCAAGTTGAAGTTGCCTTTGTCTTCACGTACAAATGACCCAGTACTACAACACAGAAAGTATAATAATTTCATCTGAGGTTCAAGACAGCAGTAAGAGAACACCCAGCAGGCCTGTTAAAATTTTCTTTACTAATTCCCCAACTAGTTTCCTGTGATTTGCTCTCCCTTCTCTCAGTCTTGGTAAAACATGAAAGTTAAAGTTATTTTTAGAGTAAAGAGCTCTGTGAAAATGGGCATTGGCCAATACTTTGTGAAATGTGTGTGTGCGCGCGCGTAGCTACTAAGATATCTGCAAAATAACTACAAATAATTAATTTGGGCTCTGGAATGTGATAATTATTATAAAAATTCAAACTATGGCCTTACTACATACCAGGCTATTAAGCTGTGATTTTTCTTGTTGGAGTCATTTTTTTTTTTTCTTTTTGGCTCTGGTTCTCTGTTACACCTTAGTTAATGGACTGCTCAGGCTGTCTGGGGGGATAACAATCATAGTAATATGTACCACTGAAAAGATTTCTGTTGTCTGTATATTTTTCAATGTTGGAAACTTTAAAGTACCAATTTCTGGAAGCATGTAAAACTAGCCTCATGTCATAGGCTGGTTTTTATGCTTAGCAATTATTTTTCTTTATGGCCATATAAGAAATAATTGTCCCATGTCCATTTATCTTGCAGTGAGACGTTTAGGCTGAGAAAGGCTAGTGGTCTGATAATACATTTTGGAGTGTTTCTAAAATTCTGTAAAAGATGGCTTCCAGTTTGGGAGTAAGATTTGAAGAATGCTGTTGCTTACGTATCTTGATTTGAAGTCTTGGAGAAAGAATATTCATATGAAAAATGCTTTTTTCTTTTAAAATTTTGTGTCTATCCCTGCTAATAAACACTTAGGGACAAATGGGTGGGGCAAATGACTTCTTGTTGGACTCTACTGAGCAAATCAGTTAAGCTGTAACTTAAGCTGTGCCAAATTCTCCCAAAATGTAAACTATATTCTGTGAGAAGAGAAGCACTTTGGAGAAGCTGTATTAACCCTTTTGGTACATTGACCATTTCTGTTCCAAAGCATGAAACAGAAAACTAGTGATTTGAAAGTATGAGATCATTTCTAAAAGTTCTTACCTGACTTTTAAGAAACAGTTATGCCCCAGAGGCATCTGGCCAATTTGCTGCTCACTTCTAACAATTTGTTTTGCAAGAAAGACTATCTTTGAAAGATTTTAGTGCTAAGGAAATTTTATCTCCAAAAGCTGTAAAATGAAGATTAGGCATGGAATGTACCCTTGAACTTAAATCCTGGTTTATCAACTGATACATTTACAGGAAGTTCAAATTTGATTCAGTTGCACTTGGATGGAATAATTTGCTTCCTTTTTTATGAGAAGGAAAACATCATAGGCTTCCTTTGAACTGACTTCACATGCCATTACATAATCTTTCTCAGGGGAAAAATATGCCTTTAAATTTAAATTTTAATCCTTTTCTCTTTCTACTCATCATTTGGTCAGGAGAAACATAGGCTGGCAAATCGGCAAAACTGCCCATTCTCTTTTTTCTTCATTTCTAATTAGCACCTCCAGATGTTTTATTGATTTTGTTTGATGGTAACTACCACCACTTCAAACATTTGCCAACTTTCTATGCAAGTTGATGCCTTTTCTTTTTTTCACAGAGTCTGTCTTGCTCTGTCGCCCAAGCTGGAGTGCATTGACACAATCTAGGCTCACTGCAACCTCCATCTCCCAGGTTCAAAAGATTCTTATGCCTCAGCCTCCTGAGTAGCTAGGATTACAGGTGCCTGCCAATACACCTGTCTAATTTTTGTATTTTTAGTAGAGGTGGGGTTTCACCATATTGGCCAGGCTGATTTCACACTCCTGACCTCAGGTGATCTACCCACCTCAGCCTCCCAAAGTGCTGGGATTACAGGCATGAACCACCGTGTCCAGCCAGGTGCCTCTTTTTTGATTTTACATAATTATCTCCATACCCTTTGTTGGCTGCTGATTGATTATTGTCTATCTCCCACCTATATGCTTATCAAAATCTGACTTTGTTTCATTAAATTTTAACTTTATTTCATAAAGTGAGCATTACCTCTCTTTGCTCATTCTAAATTACAGTGGTGCTGGCCTGTTATGTTTTGGCAGCCAAAGTGAATATAGCACTAGTGAGCTTGGTGGCTAGCTAAGAAGGTCAATAATAGTGATGCTAGGTGTTGCTGCTACCCTTACCTGGCACCAGCTGGGAGATGGTATATATCCTGGATGGTATAAATCCATTCAGTAATCAGAAGTCTTCCACGTGTTCAGTATACCCTAACGCCCTCTTTTCACATTTAATTCAGTGAATTGTAGATAAGATGCCACAGTGCTAAGATTTAAAGCTGGCAAATAACAACAGTAAAGTCTAGAGAAAGATTCTGCATGGTTCTTTGAATCCAAGAGTTAATCTTGCATTTCACATGTTCCATTATACAGCTTTGAAAGCAGCCAAGCCTATGTGCTTGAAAGTCGGAGTTTACCCTAAGGTGTAAGTGGGCCAGAGAAAACTCAGGCAGACAAAGAGAGTTAAAAATTTTGCAAAGCCAGTTTAATGTCCTCCTAAGTTTTCTAATACTAGAATAATTTTATTAGACCCTGTCAGTGTTAGGAAAGAGAGAGAAAAGGACTGAACGACTCCTGAGTCAGGTACCATGCAAGGACCTTTGCCTCCATTCTCTTGTTTCATGTATTTTCTCTCCTTTCTGTTGGCACTACTAAAGAAAGAGCTGCCACATGAAATGAATATTGTATTAGAAATGCATGCCAGAGGCTTTCCCCTGTAATAAAGTTTTAGAAAAACTGGCTTGAGTGATGACTATTCTGTATCTTAAAATAAAGCTTGAAAGCAAAACCTCCCAAGTTTTCCCAAAAAGAATAAATCTTCTAGGTTGTATGGGAGACCACTTTAGTGCACTTACATGTTACATATAGTTTATTGATGGGCATAAAAAAATACAGGCCAACTTGCTGTCAGCCTCCTTCCTGTATGGAGGCACTGGAATCAAAGGCTCCTTTGGGTGATTATCTCTTTGGGATTATTTCCTTGTGGCAGGTGCTTTCAGCTTTGAGGAACCAAGAGTCGCAGGAAAGTACTGAGTGTGAATCCTGACTTTAGGAAGATGAAATATTTCCAGGCGATGAAGCATTTTAAAATAGAGACACAAAGTAATAGTTTGTCAGAACTGGATAGGGCTGAGGACCAAGGAGGCCGTAAATAATCGCAAACTCTGTTCCAATGAGATGTCAGGGACAGTACTGCCCACCTAACCTTGCGTCCTGATTTGCCTCGTATTATTCCTTCCACTGAGTCACATTGCCATGAATGGTTTTTGCTGTTTGAATAATTATAGTAAATGTGAGAAAGTTTCTATTCTGTTATTCCCTATTTAGACTATGTAACCATTGATCCCTAAATTATACAAAATGAGATAGACTTGAGCTGTCCTGGGATATAATGCTTAGAACCCTGTCTAAGATGGTTTAAGTAACGTAATCGCCAGAAGGACTTTGTTAAAATAGAAACCTCCTCTCTACCGTAGAAACCTGATGGGCCATCTGAGGGCCACTCATTCAACTAACATATCCCCAAATCTGCCCTCTTCTCACCATCTCCTCTGCTAAACACTGGATCAAGTCACTCAAGTCACTCAGATGATAACAGTCTCTTAAAGGGTCTTTTTGTTTCCATTCTTGTCCTCTTAAAATCTATTGTCAATAAAGTGTTTCAAGTCATTCCCCTGCTTAAAATCTCTTAAAGCTTCTCATTGTGTTTCATATAAAATCCACACTTCCGATTGTGGCTTGGGTGACTCTGGTTTGCTTGCTACCCTTTAACCACGCCGGCCATGTCTGTGCTCCTCCAAGACACCACACCCGTGCCTCCCTCAGCACCCTTGCCTTGCTGGTTTTCCTGTTTGGATGTTTTTGTCTGGCTCTCTGCATGGCTGAGCCCTTAGATTTCAGATCTAAGCTCAACTGTCATTTTCATGTGAGAACTTTCCTGAGCATCCAATGAAGAATATTTTTGTTCCATGATTCTACTTTATTTATTAATAATAAAAAACAGTAGCTAACATTTACTATTTACTACATACCAGGCACTGTTATAAAGCCCTTTCCAGTTTAAAAAATTTAGCCCTAGTAACAATTTTATAAGGTAGGAAACTTATAGATGAGAAAACTGAAACACAGAGAAATTAAGAAACTTCTTTAATTCATAAAATTAGTGTCTTAGTTGTCTATTGCTGTGTAATACCCAAATTAGTGACTGAAGTTATTATTATTTCTCTTGGTTCTATGGGTTGACTGGATAGCTGGGTGGTTCCCATGTGGGGACTGTCACAGTGTTGCAGCCAGAAGGCGTCTTACACAGCTACAGTCATGTAAAGGCTGGACTAAACTGAAATCAAAGGGGACTTCTTCATTCACACATCCAGGCCTCAGCTGGGATGGCAGGGGCAGCTATTTCTGGGCTGGCATCTCTCTCCAGACAGCCTCTCCATGTGGCTTCCTCAACCTGACAATCTTAGGTGGTTGAAGTTCTAACACAGTAGCCAGCTTCCTTCAGAGTGGGCATCTCACAAGACCCAGATGGAAGATGGAAGTCTTCTTATGACCTAGCCTTGGAAGTTATACAACGTCACTTCTGCTTCACTCTGCTGGTCAAAAGCGAGTTCTGGGGCCATCCCAGATTCAAAAGCAGGGCTTGTATAAGAGCATGAATACCAGATATGGTTCAGTGGGGGAAGTGGGGGGTTGGGTGGGGGTCATCCTTGGAAGTTGGTTACCACAGTGCATAAATGCCAGAGTCTGGACTAATACACAGACAATCTGACTCTTGAGCCTTCACTTTAAACCACCATGCTCTAAAATCATTATTTTTTAAAATTTTGTTGACTTTGTTATTATCTCTCTGCCAACCCCTCTCTAACTATATTCAAAGCTTCATGAGTATAGGGACGTGATGGGTCTTGCTCAGTTGGGTACTCAGAACCTAAAGCAGGGCTAATATATAATATGTACTTTATAGTTGTTGAATGAATGAATGAATATCTTATCTTTTTAAAAAATTACTCAGCCCCTAATGTCAGGTATTTTAGATTTTCACATTTGGAAGGTACACTGTAAACTGTAAAGTATAATAATTATTTAGGGTACTAACAAACCTTCAAAACACAGTGGCTCAGACAAGCCACAGATTTACTTTTCTCTTTCATATCAGTGCAGACCTAGGCAAGTGGGTGACTCTGTTCTGCAAGGACACCCAGGGATCCAAGTTTTTTCTACCTTGTTAGTCTCTCATCCTTTGGGGATGACATATCTGAGTGAAGCCAGCTTACTTTCACCAGCCCTGAGGTGGTGGGAAAGAGGATGGGAGGCAAACAGATTCCTTGTAATAATGGGATCTGAAAGTTATACATATAAGTTCCACCCCCATCCATTGGCTTCTTTAGCTGCAGGGGAATTTGGAAATATGGTTTCTAAATACGCTATGCTAAAACTTAGGGTTAGGGGGAATCTATTAGAAAAAAGAAGAGGAGCCTGTTCACAGAATCTGCCAGTGTATTTATAGCATAAATGATAAAGTTAACTATAATGTAAAGACCTGAATCTTTTGTTTGACCCTGATGTAAAGTTTACTTTCTGTATAAGCTAGCTTTATTGTTTTTATGCAGATGACAGTTCTCTGTGAAATTATAATTAGTCAAAATCTAGTGCTAATGGGCTTCAGGTCTCATTTGGAGCTCAGAATCAGTTGAAAAACATTTAACAACTCACCTCTGGCTACATGTTTGAGGTCACACACCAATGTGAGGCATTCCAACGAATGTTGTCATTAACTTACCTTCAAAATAAAAGCTTTATAAAAGTACTACTTTTGAGGCTAGACCAGTAGAAATGTATAGGTTATATTTACTAACAATCATTGGTACTCACTAAAGCCCTCCAAGTTGTTTTACAAGAGTTGAGAGCAGCTCTTTAAAAAAAATTGCTCTGTCACTTAGGCTGGAGTGCAGTGGCACAATCTTGGCTCATTACAACCTTAGCCTCCCAGGCTCAAGCGATCCTCACACCTCCTCTTCCCAAGTAGCTGGGACTACAGGTGTGTGCCACTATGCGTGGCTAACTTTTAAATTTCTTGTAGCGATGAGGTCTCATTATGTTTCCCAGGCTGGGCTCAAACTCCTGGACTCAAGCAATCCTCCTGCCTTGACCTTCCAAAGTGCTGGGATTACAGGCAGGAGCCACCACACCCGGCCTGACATATTTTCAAGGTTTGATAGTAGAGTGCTGTTCTAGTCAGTTTAGGCTGCCATAACAAAATACCGTGTGGCTTAAACAACAGAAATCTGTTTTCTCACAGTTCCGGATGTTGAAAGTCCAAGATCAGGGTGCCAGCACGATTAGGTTGTGGTGGGGGCTCTCTTCCTAGCTTTAACTTTAACTTCATTTAACAGCCTCTTTCTCACTGTGTCCTTATGTGGCCTTTCCTCTGAGTGCATAGAGAAAGACAGGCAGAGAGAGACAGAGAGAGAGAGAAAGAGAGAAATCTCTTCCTCTTATAACATCATTGGCCCTGTTGAATTAGGAACGCCCTTTAAGACCTCATTTAAGTGTAATCATCTCCTGAAAGTCCTGTCACCAAATACAGTTACACCGGGGGAGGGGACTTCAACATGAATTTTGGAGATTCACAATTCAACCCATAAAATTCACTATTAGAAATTATAACCAAACAATATTTTTGTTTTATTATTATTCCCAACTTTCCGCCTATTCAGGATTAAGAGAAGATGTGCTTAGGACTCTTCTCTTGTTTGAATATTTACTGTAGATTTTATACCATTGGCAATAATGGCAACAACAATAATCCTCAAGAATTGGCTGTCTTGATTTTCCTTTTTGAGGAATCATTAGGATGAACTGTACATCTAGATTCATGATCTATGATGGGGGCGGGGAGGTCATCTGATTCTCATTCCTAAAATTTGCAGAGAGAGGAGGACTATTCTTTAGTTAGAAGCTCAAATCAATTTTAAAGAACCATTAGTAGAAGATTTTAGGAATTCTTTATCTAGTGCATTTGAGTACACCACACTGCTCCCACACAGCAATAGACATGGGTTAGATCAATTTACTAATAACATTTGCCAAATGATTTTGGTGGGTTACTCCATAGACAAAACAAACAGTTGATGGACTGCACTGGGGTCTTTTCAACTGGTCACTCTGACATATTTTGGATAAAGCCAATATTATTTTAAGCTAGAACGTTAAGCAGATACTACACTTCCTCCTCTCACATGAATAAGTGAATTCTTTTTCCTCTCAATCTAATTGCAAAGCCATCTACAGTGAAATAACTTGCCCAGGAAGGATAGGATTCACACTTCTCAAATGAATTTGAGTGGAAGAGTGAACTAAATGTTGGATGGAAAGTATAAAGCTTACATCCTATCAAATTTTAAAACATGAAAGTCCTTAATAGAATTATGATTTTCTGTTCATTTTATATTTTTCTCTTAAATTATTGCAGTGGGAAAATACTCCTGGACTGTGAACCAAAGGACCAGGTCCAAGTTCTCCTTATACATGTAACTAGTTGCATGAACTTGGACTGAGCCCTCTAACTTCATTGGGTCTCAGTGTCCTCTTTAATGTGCTGACAGCAGGGATGGGTTCCATAGGGTTAATTGAGATGATGCATACAAAGGGATTTTGTTTAGTGCTTAACATGTAGTAAACATTTATAAATACTGGTGGTTGCCGTAATGGTAGTTGTTGCCATCTCTTAGGCCCTT